CTGGGATAGGCTGCAGCCCCCTCGCAACCCTAGTGAGGATCAAGCGGTGTATAGATAATGGATGGATGGATATTAAACAGTCATAATGAAGTGTTATTTTAGTCATTACTCCTCTTGCAAATTTACTGACATTAAAAATATGTTGCTTTTCCACACTTTTATGCCTGTTGTTTATTCATTATCATATATATTACATGTATTGTTAGTTTTAGATAGAGAGCTTTTTCTCACCATTTTCTCATAGAATATTATCTAAGCATAGATCACTTGTAACTACAGTATCATGTATTTGTGCACAGATTAGATTTGTTATCTAAAAGAAATATAAGATCTGTATTCACTAAAAGTATATTAGACTTCCACACAGGTACAGAATGACCACACACGTTTTTAAGAAATATTTATATGCTACTGTAGTCTTTCGTTGTTTCCACACTGCCTGTGAAGAGATCTAATGGGCTTCATCTCTGCTGTAAGAAGTAAAGGACTGTGTGTCAACTAGATCTTAGGATTTTGTTTCCCAGTGTTGCTGCACCAGGACGGGATCTCTTCACTGCCAGTATGGAGAACAGGAATTATTACAGTGACCCAGGACTGTCTCAGCCTACAGACTACATGTGAGTCTGGTATCAAGTTAGACAACAAAAAGTCCAAATGTATCCGTCTCTTATCTGCTTCCATTTAAACATCCTTACCTTTGCACTCTACTGTTTTGATCCACTTGCCATCGGTACATGTTGCAGTGCCTTCAGCTGCTGCATCAGGTATGACACACTGATACTCGATCACGTCTCCATTCATGTATCTGTCTTTATCCGAGGTGAAGTTCATTGACAGCTTCTCATTGCTGAGCTTGTCACAGTAGGCTGAAATTACAAGTAACACACTGTTGTCAGTCCCTGTTTCTTAGACAGAAGTTATGTCATCTTAATCTGTGTCAGAATTAGCCTTGGTGTCAGATGTAAATTGTGCTTTTGAGTGAATGAAGCACCACATTTATGTTCTGGTGGACGGCAGGTGTACAAAGTGCAGGACAATGACGCTGAAAACTGGGATTCACATCCCGAGTCCTGTGTCTGGTTTGGTATCTTTGGTTAAGTTTGATTAAAGATTGTGTTCTATCTTAAAAAAAAAAAAAAAAAAGATGAATAAAGCTGCAGCTGTTATGTTAGTATGTATTGCATTGGGTACTGAGGGCGGGAAAAAAATGCATTGTCACTTAGCTTTTATTACAGATTTACCTTTGTGATTAGCCATGTTATGATGTTTCCTGGGAAAGATTGGCATGGAAAGTTCCTCTCATATTTCTAATGTTTTTTGTTATTTGTCATTTTCCTTGTTGAGATTTTGTTTAAATGGAATTGGTTTCAGTCACTATTGCAAGAGATTTTGAGCTCAGTGAGATTTCCTAAAAAAACAAAGCTTAACTCAATAATGGCTCCTAGCTGCATACAAATTAGTTTCATATAAAACTATTTTCTAGGAAACAGAGTGGTGTTGTTCTCCGAGTGGTGTTGTAGTATTTAATTTGTTGAAGTTCAAGTTTTAGCAGCTTGGTATATCAATCTGCTTGTGAAGACAGTGAAGACAGAAGGAATGCTCACATCTGTTTAAATACCTGGTCTGNTTACTTTTGTCAGATTCAAGTTATATCTGTGACCATTGTGGGTTTTTCTTTCATTAACCGCGGGGTACCAACAATTTTGTCCATGTGTATGTAATTTTACTACTTGTTTCAATTAATCAAAGACACAGTAGGTAAATAAAAAAAGATGACATACAAGAGTGTCAGTCAACACAGATTAATATTTTTGAGTAACAAAGGAACTAATGATAACTTATATATGAAAGTTATCACTGGACTCTGCTGTTTTCCTCAGAGAGACAGATAATTTTTCTTTAGAGCTTAATGGAGACCAAATCACAATTAATATTGAATTCAGTTTACCAGGTGGTCAGAAAAACAACTCCAACTGAGTGTTGATGTTGCTGTGTGTCTACTAAATGTGTAGATAATCACCAGTGATGTGTTCATGGCTTTTTTTCATGCATACATACATATTGTGACCCAAGTGGCCAATATAAATATGAAGTCATTCAAACATGATACATTTGATAATTGATTAAATGGAATTACCATTTAAATTATTTCATTTAATTGTCCAATGAAAGTGAACATACCAGAGCAGGTTGGGAAGGGGGCACTCCACTCTCCAGTTTCTAAACACTCAATTTCTTCAGACCCATCCAGTTTAAAGTCATTGCCGCAGAGAAACCGTAATTTATGTCCATTTTTTATTGTTTTGTTTGATGGCGGTAATCCAGCTACATAGAGATCAGGGGGCATCTCGCCAACTTGACAAGAGTCTGAAAAGAGTAAAACAGAAATGATCCAAATAAGAAAAACATAGTTGAGCATTAAGCACCCAAATGTGTTTCTTAGAGTTGGTGGAGACCAGAATAGCTAAAAGAAGAATGAATAATGGACTTTAATTTGAGAATTGGAACCAATACTCTCCAATTTACAATGAGGTAATTCCTGAAAACAATCTTTGTTTTTGAGTAAATCTTCTTTGTTTTGTTTGTGTATGAGAGAGGATGCTGAAATAAAAGGTGGGAATACAGTGCCAAAGAAAAGTGTTCATCATCTCCACTGCATCCGTGGAGTTCATATTAATGCAACGCTATTCAATTTCGATTTGAGATGTGTTTTGAATGTTGGAGAAATTTAATTGGACATGATAGATTATCAGAAAAGAACTTTTATGGAAAGTGCCTTTTTTAAAATATGAGAAAATTTCCCATCACTTTTTTTTTTTTGTCACGAAGGGCTAAAGAGAGTCTAAAATTGAAATACTTCCTGTTTTTATATCCTGGCTACCTGTTACAATAAATGATATCATACATCCAAGAGGCAACAACAAATGTATTCATTCATTTGGCGATGAAAGAGTAAAACAGAAAGACGTTTAACTCACAGTAACACAATCCCTGTCGGACTGCCAGCCAGCCCTCACTCGCACATATGTATTTGATGGTCAGATCTGATGTATAACCAGGTTCACATGTGAAATGTATCATGTCTCCTTCTTGATAATGAGCTTTTCTGGTCTCTTCTGTCACACGGCCGTGAGGAACATCTGGAAGCTTTGAACATGCTAACAACAACATGAGAAAACAAGAGGAAATTACACACACTGTCACAAAGCGAGTGTTAATATGAAAAGGAGGTAGATGTTGTGTCGGCTCTTCCAAATTATGTTTCAGTTGATGGACACATAACACAAATTTATATGTTGTAAAAAACACATGCATTCTTTAAAATAAAATTTTAAAAAAATGTTTGTAGAGTTATGGTGCTGAATTCCAATTTTACAGGTCTCAAATAGATGATCTTCCATTGTGATAGTATTCAGACATTAATGTTGAGGCTGGTAATTTGATGCCAGAGGTCTGATTATGTGAATCCTTAACAATAACAGAAACCATTCCTATTGTGTGTGTGTGTGTGTGTACAATAAAAATGTCATCTCCAAGGTTGAGCTTTATTAGGATTATATGAAAGTGCAGTTTAGTGTAATATTTAGGGCTGCAGTGGCCCGTGAATTCCCTCCTTTGCTGGGCCCTGTATTGGGACACTTATTTCAGTGTATGGATCCCAGAAGAGGTCCTTCTATGACAATAATTAGTCAACCAGTGGTGAAAAAAAAAAACAGAAAACCATTTAACTCACAGTAGCACATTCCCCGACGGATGACTAGCCAGCCTTCACTTGTGCAGACATATTTTGAAGTGTGATCTGATATATAACCAGGCTCACAGGGGAAATGAACCACGTCTCCTTCCTGGTACTCAGCTTTTTTGGTTTCTTGTGACACATGAGCATGAGGAACATCGGGGAGCTTTGAACATGCTGAGAAGCCAACATAGTAACATGAGCGAACTCCAACCATCCAACTACTTTGTCTCGTTTATTGTTTGCCACATGTGCAGATGAACAAAAGCTTACGTTGTCGCTGTGCACACAGCACAGCTCTAAAACTGAAGTCTTCACAACACTAGAAAGCTGCTCATATTATTAAACAGAGTAATTAAAAATATTTCAGTTGCAGATGCACAATTTTTGGTTTTACTCTCTAACACAGGTGGTGCACAGTTAACTATTTGTGTGTTTAAGTGGCAGAATGTATTCATGACTTAAAACTCATTAAGACAGTTTCAAAGGTACCACAAAACCTTTACAACCATGTACAAGCTTATGATGTTTGTCATAACAACAGCAGCAAGGAATATAACAATGAAAGTAAAAATCTTTAAGAGTAAATACGCAATGGTGTCACAGATCACATGAACTGGCTGCTGCCCAAATATTTTTACAATGGTTAAAATGAATGGCATAGCTGTAAGTTAAAATAAGCATTCAAATATCGACAACAGGTTGCAATTTAAAAAAAGAAACATTTTATTCTTCACCTGCCATTGAGTGCTATTAAAATCGGTTACTTTTTTACAATCCACAAATGACAGCTTTTAGGGTTGAAAAAAATACTAGGAATAATCTGAACAATGCACATTTACTTGTGAAGACATCTCCCAGACATATGCTCAACTTCTCTAATGAGAAAATATCTCAAATGAAAACGTGAAATTTACACTGGAGTCTGCTCTTTGTGTTCTATGTAATCTGACCTAAACTCTGTCTGTAGAGTAGAGCAGATACAAAAAGAAAACAGTTGGTCTTACCATTTTGTGACAAAGAAAGTTCCACGTTCCCCCACAACTGGAGAAACAGGAGGATTACAGACAGTCTCATTCTGTTGTCAAACACTGTTTCCTGAGGAGAATTTCAGTGTGTTTGCTAACAGCTGGAGTTCTGATGGAGTACGGAGGGTCACAACATGGACTGCCCAGTGGGACTGTACACCTGACGTATTGCAACACACCAACATGCGCAGTTTGTGCACTCACATTCATATGGTCTCATATTAACTGGATCTATATCCTATCACTTCATTCATACAAAAGGCTGTAAAGGAATATGCTCTCAGGTGGAAATATAACAAAGAGTTTAGGTGTTTAAAATAGTTTCACATTTCTTTTCAAACTTAATTTTTTCCCTTTTACTATTGATTTCAGCCGAACTCACTAACACACTTTTCTGCATAGAGGTCCTTTGAGGATATTGTGGATGGCTGGAGGTACAAAGCCAGATTCCCTGCATATTTCAGGCTTTGGTCACATACAAAGAAAAAAAAAACAGTCCATAATTTTAATAGCAGGATTATTTTAACTTAAAAGTACAGAATATCAACTAAAAATCTGGAAATACACACATGATGACGAATGCTGACTATGACCCCAAGAACACCCATTCATACAGTCAAGTATGGAGATGGAAATATTATGCTTTGGGGCTGTTTCTCTGCCATGGGTACAGGACAACTGCATTGCATCGAAGGAAGAATGAATGGGGCCATGTACTGAAAATCTTGAGCAACAACCTCCTTCCCTCAGCCAGAACACTTTAAATGGGTTGTGGGTGGATCTCCCAGCAAGGTAGTGACCCAAAGCATATGGCCAATGCAACAAAGAAGTGGCTCAAGAAGAAGCATATTACGGTCATGGAGTGGCCTAGCCAGTCTCCAGACCTTTCATTCTAGACTCATCTTTTTTTTTTGTTGTATGTGGCCAAAATCCTAAAATATGCAAGGAAATCAAATACTTATTTTCATCACTATACTTTCATTGTTAAGACTGAGATTCCTGTCCTGTGCTCAGTATGTTCTCAGGTTTAGTCCGCTAAAATGTTTGGTTAATGCTGGAGAGAGATTGTTTTAGTTTAAAGAATTGTGCCACATATAACTGTTGGCCTTTTTAACATGTAAAAGATAGGTCTGGTGCTATATTCTTGAAGTACAGATCTTTGGTAAATACAGCATCACACATCAAAGCAAGCATCTCAGAGTCTGACGTTCAATGAAGAATGTTTTATTTTCATCAATGAGTCCTTGTCAATATAATTAGTCTTGTTAATGTTGACAACAATTCACAAAATGACCATCTCATGTCAAAGTGAAATCAGATTTCTGCAACCTATAATTAATTATTTAAAAAGATCAAATGCAACATTGCACAAGTTTCCACCGCTTCAAGTCAGCATTTAGTAGAAGCACATTTAGCTGCAATTACAGCATTGAGCCTGTGTGGATAGGTCTCAGTCTTGTACATCTGGACACTGCAATCTGACTCCATTTCTCTTTGCAAAACTGCTCAAGCTCTGACAGGTTGCACAGGGATTGTGAGTAAACAGTCCTTTTCAAGTCCAGCCATAAATTCTCAGTTACATTGAGGTCTGGGCTCTGACTCTAACTCTTGACAATTACTTGCACCCTCTACCTTTCTAAACCTTTTAGGGCCTGGTGCTGAGAAGCATCCTCACAACATGATGCTGCTACCACCATGCTTCACGGGGCGATGGTTTGTGGCGATGTGCAGTGTTTGGTGTTTACCAAATGTAGTGTCTAGTCATTAAGAGGCTGGACTTGTGTTGAATTCGATGGGTCACTTTGAAAGGAGGAAAAAAAATATGCAAGCACTTATTTTACGTTAACATTTATAACCCTTTTATAGGAGGCAATTGTGAACAGTTGTCATGCCTTTTTTTTTTTCTTTTTTGTAAATTCTTTAAAGAATAACAAAGAAAGAAAAAAAGAAAGAGCCAAATTTACTTAATCATGTTTCAGTGTTAACCTCAACATGTTTTTGGACTTTGGGTGTAAGCCAGAGAACCTGGAGAGAACCCACGCTGAACAGGGAGAACATGCAAACTCTACACAGAAAGATCCCAGGCATCCTTACCAGGATGCCAACCAGCGACCTTCTAGCTGCGAGACAACAGTGCTTACCACCGAACCACCTTGCAGCACAGTCCAAAAACATGTTGAGGTTAATTGGTGATTTTAAATTGTCCGTAGGTGTGAATGTGAGTGTGCTTGGTTGTCTGTCTGTAAGTGTAGGCCTGATACCTGGATACCTGTCCAGGGTGTCCCCTGCCTTAACCCTAAATCAGCTGTGATAGAGTCCAGCCCCCCTGCGACCCTAATGAGGATAAACGGTGTATTGGATGGATGGTTCAGTGTTCAAATGCAATACAAGGAGAAAATGTCCAAGGGAGGTGAATACTTTTTATAGGCAATGTATGCTGGACATTCAGCAGATATGCTTAGAAGGTAAAACATTTTGTACAGTGTCCAGATAAAAACCCTTCTCTTTTTATTAATAAACATGCAATTTATGCATTAATATATAAAAGCAGAAAGGACCAAAAACAAAGAGTTTATTTCAAGCATTACTTTGTATCATGAATGTTTATTTTGTTTGTCAAATGAAGTTTGCTATAAAATGAGCAATAAGCAATTCATCAATTGTCTTCACTCTGTCTCTCAGCACATGAACAGATATTAACAGTTAAAGGTGAGACTATAACTCATAAAACAATGTTTAGAAAGAAAACAGACTGAGTGTATATATATATATATCTGATGTAAAATCACCACATACAGCACTAAAATACATAACTGCTCTGACTCTTCATGTTTGTGTGCTCTTGTTCATCACATCCAGCTGATTAAAAAACTTTACTGGCAGGTGGGCAGGTGTATCACACCATTGATACACTTCTGACGCATTTCCAATGTGCCGTCATGTCTTGTTCCGTCAGAACATGAAAACGTGATTGCATCATCATGGGGTGAATACAGCTTTTTTTCCCAAGTATGTCTGAACCTAATGTTGTGTCTGCTCATGGCATCTTCATCCACAGTGCAGGGCTCTGCAAGAGATAAGAACAAATCAATATCAGTGAAATACAGAAATGTACAGCACACTCCAAATGATTGATATCTGTGTTAGAAATAAATATTTGGTGTTTCAAAGACAGTCAGTAGCATATTCTATCACACTACTCAACATACAGAGCAAACATCACGAGCCAGCAGACTGTGATGTGACTGATATGTTTTTTTTTCATTTGTATTGTTTTTTGGGCTGGTTGAGAAACTATGTACGAGGTGTATCAGAAAAGTTGCAGGACTGGTGTCACAAAAGACATATTTCATATACAAATGACAAACTACAAGTTTTCCCCTTCGAAGTAATCACCCTTGAGTCCAAAGCAGTTTCCCAGCCTTCTCTGCCACGCCGCCATGCACTCCTGGAAGTATTCTTCCCGTCATCAGCCATCTTGACGTCGTCCACGTCTTCAAAACGGGTCCCCTTGATGACCCCCTTGAGCTTGGGGAAGAGGAAAAAAATCCCACGGAGCCAGGTGGGGTGAGTAGGGAGGTTGCTCCAGCACGGCGATGTTCTTCTCAGCCAGGAACTGTTGGATGCTCAGGGCATTGTGAGCAGACGTGTTGTCATGGTGAAGTAGCCAGCACTTGTCCTGTCACAACTCTCGTCTCTTCTTCAGCACTGAACGAAGCAAACGTTGCAGGATCTCTTTGTAGACGTGCTGGTTGATCGTCTTAAGGGGAAAACTCGTAGTTTGTAGTTTGGGTTTGAAATATATCTTTTGTGACACCAGTCCTGGAACTTTTCTGACACACCTCGTACATTGGATCTAAATCGATATTGAACTCTGCCCAACATATAAGAAGTAAAACTTGTTTCTTCACCTTTCATGTTCATGTTCTTTTTGGCATCATGATTAGATTCATCTGCTCTCTTGCTGGTGATTTTAAAACATGTGTTGCAAAATCAAATTTCCATGTCGATTAGTTTGTGGTTTAAGAGAAAGTTGCCGTTTCTCTCTCTCAAGTTATTCCTTTGAATCTCTACCACTTTTAAGTGAGGCGTTCCACAAGGCTCAATTCTAGGACCAGTTTTGTGATGTGCAGTGGCTCTGTATGATTAATCGATTTTTACTACTTCTACAGAACATGCAAACCAAAATCAGCTTTACCGATGAGAAATCTTCACAGATTGTAGTATGAAAGATATAAATGGAACTGTAACTTACTGAGGCATCTTATCTGTCCAGTCCAGTTACCATTGGTGCAGGTCATGAACGGCCCACCCTCCATAGTGTATACATTCTGACAGACATATTCAACCTTTTCATTATGTCTGTGCTGGAATCGAATAGTTTCCTTGGTGTCTCCATTCTCAAGATGTGGTGGTTTCCCACAGCCTACAGGATCTACAAGACACAGACAATCGTCAAGAAAATACAAGTTTATGTGTCACAATGATTTCATTTTCACATTTTTTGCTGTCATATGTTCAGGCTTTTAAACTAAATGCAAATATAAGCAGTTAAGTGAGTGTTTTTCATGTGACTCTTTATTTTTACATGTCCTGACTTTTCCTTAAGACTCTTTTCCATCAACAGCTTAGAACCCAAAATACTTCCATACACGGATTCTCTCCACCTTGTAAAACATGAACTGGGCCAACCAAGCCATCAGAAATCAAAGTGTAACGTGGGAAATATCTAAATCTGGGTTCAGGGATTATTTTTTCCTAACATTTTAAATGATAAGGAGTGAGAGAACAGCAAAAGAACTGACTTACTTCCACAAGTTGGAATTGAAGCACTCCACTGTCCACTGGCCAAACATTCAACTGTTGCATTCCCTTGAATAAAGTGTCCAGGTCGACGGCACCTAAATGTTAACTTTTGTCCTTTTAATAGAAGACGGCTTGATGCACCTGGGGTGAAGCTTATGTTGTCTGGTAATCTTGGGACTTTACATTTCTCTGTTTTGAAGAAGAGAAACTGTTTTATCAAGAGGTTTATGCTAAACAGCAGCATTTTAGACCCAGTGTGACGGAAATCTGTGACAACACCTTGTACATTTTCCTCTGTAGACAAATTATTATCAGTATTGTAACTTGTTTGAATTTTAATGAACAGTGATGCAGTAAATGGATAGAACAATTACTCAATAAAGTTTCAATCTACAAATCTGCATTGAATATATTTATTCAGTATTTCGGAATAAACTGAAATTGAACTTACCAGAGCAGGTTGGGAAGGGGGCACTCCACTGTCCAGTTTCTAAACACTCTATTTCTTTAGACCCATCCAGTTGATACTCATTGCTGCAGTGAAACCGTAATGTATGTCCAACTTCCAATGTTTCCCTTCCTGATGGTAATCCAATTGCAGTGAGTCCAGGATGCATGACATCAATTTCACAGGTGATCTCTGAGAGAATAAGACAGATAAGACACACACTTAAAAACTGCAAGACTCAGTTTATGAGTTTATGTGACCGCTACCATGTCCTTGAAGAATTAAAAAGTATGTGAGAAAGTAAAAACATGTAATTGTCATTTTCTGGTAAACTTTTTACTGTGACAACACCGTGTCCAAAAGAGAGTCACAGCTCAAAGCTGAGTAAACACAGTCGGTCAGTCAGTCAGTCAGTCAGTCAGTCAGAGATTTAGGCCTCCAAAGTTGAAAAGTGAGATGGACTGCTGGTTTTTGATAGAGCAAATTTATTTGTATAGTAAATTTCATGTTCATGTCTGAAGTGAATAGTGAAGAAAGAGTGGCATATAAACAAAACAAGTATAGATGAAAAAAAGAAAAATAGAAATCAAAAGGAAATGAAATGTTCAAAGAGAGTATGATGGGTGTTGAAGGTTGTGTCAAAGACACTGAACAGCATGAAGTCTTTAGCTTGAACTTAAAGTTGGTCAGAGTGTGAAGTTTGTTCCAGCTCTGTGGCACACAGAAACTGAATGCTGCTTCTAAAGATTGAGAAGTAATATTTGGCAAAAGATGGTCAGAGATTTAAACTCTACTTTTGGAGGCACTTGAAACCAGAGAGGAGACCTGAGAATTGGTGTGACGCGTTCATTTTAATAGAACTACAGCAGCAGCTTTCTGACGGAGCTGAAGCTGTCTGAGAATTTCTTTGTGGACATATAATGATATCCACAACTCCCCTTTATATAGAAACTGAAATCCTTATGACAACAGAAAGTGGTAGAATTGACATTAGTTGACAGAACTTTGAACAAAAGTGCTGCTCTCTTGATACTGAGGCTTACGTTGGCATGTTGGCGTCCTATCGGTCCATCCGTCCAGTGAACAAGTCAGTGTGTCCTTACCCACCAAATGATACCTGTGATGAAAATGAAATAAAACTTCCCACTTTAAAAGTAAAACATCTGAATAAAACACCTTAAATTAGAGACTTAAATTGCCAACAAGAGACGAAGAAAGTATCCGACTATCTATCTGTTGCATACACAATACGAAAAGTGTTTATCATTGCACAGTATTTGTCATGTTTGTATGTTAAAGTCATTGTAAATCTTACTATAAAACTGGAGCACCTGGTGACTAGAAAAAGACAATATACTGCATTATTTAGAATAGCTGTAATCCTGTCTTCATTAACTAGATGTACATTAATAAATGCATATTTGCTTAGAACAAAACAATGTTTTAAATAATACTTAGTGTGTATACAATTCTTCGAAATGCTGTGCTACCAAAATGTCTTAATTCTATCAATCATTCTACATCCACATACCCTTTTTTGCAAACATATTGGATAGTTGTTCCAAAGACAAAGTCTTCACCCTCAATAATTTTATAGATGCCATTTGGAGTGGCATCAGGAAGTGGGCACGGCTTTACTGAAGGAACAAGAAAAAAGAGATTATTCATTAGTGTGATTATAAACTTGAACTTGGCTCTATCCCTTTTCAATGTTTGGAAGCTGAAAAGCTCCAGCAAAGTGATAGATTTTGTTCCAATATTATTCCACCCAAGTCTTTCATGAATAACACGATGTGGTGAAACAATATTGTTATGAATGTGTTGCTTTGATTTAACACAGTGCTATTTATTTACTAAAATTGTTGCCAGCAGCATAATACAGCATTTTACAACTCTCTCAGTACCATAATCACCACTTCCTAGTAGCGACAATTAATTGTATAGAATTATGAGCTACTCTGGGATGTCACCAAAAGTGTAACCTTGTAGTGGATTCATGCAACCTGATGACTGCTGTCGCCGAAGCAGTAACAAAACAGAGAGTTGGACAGAAAACTGTGTAGCTCACAGTAGCAGCTCCCCTGACGGACTGCCAACAGCCGACCCCCAGCAGAACACATGTGATGGAACCGATTTCACAAGTGAAATGTATCACGTCTCCTTCACGGTACTCAGCTTTTTCGGTTTTGTCCCACATGTAGGTGAAAGGAACACGTGGGAGCTTTGAACATACTAACATACAACAACATGGTAAAGACGAGGACAATGTGTTTTCTCCACAGCTGTGTGCTACTCATGCCAGTTTTCACAGTCATTAAAAACATGTACTGTGCCTACGTAAGTCACAGATCCCACACTCACACACACTAAACCTGATGTTATGAGGTATTACCATACATTAAAATATCTAATTCACGTTCATTTCCATAATAAGTCCATTCTTCTGTTAAACTAATTATATAACACTGCAACATTGAAGAAGTCTCTTACCATTCTGTGCTAAAGAAACTTCCACATTCTCCCACAGTTGGAGAAACACAAGGATTACGGACAATCGCATTTCATTGAGCTGCTATGCGACTGAGCCCAGCTTCTTTGACAAATTCTGCTTTCAGAGCCAATTTCCTGTACTCAGGGTTACAACATGGGATTGCACAAGACCGAAAAACAACATGATGCATCAACACACATGGGGACGCACTGTTCTTCCTTGAAAGCTCCAGAAACGTTCACAGACAGAACCTGTCATGCAACAACAACTCAACGACTCTTCATAATGCGTGTCTGTGGTATTCAACCAAACAGATCCAAAAATGATGCAACGGGGTTTACTTTCCCGCTCTGCTTAGGCCACAGCGGAGGCGAGACATACCTTTCTACTGGCTTTGACCTCACAAGTTGATCAAGTATTACATTAAACAAGCACTTTATCTCATACACTAGCACATTTAGGCACGAGTTGTTTTGTTTGAAGCAGCGCGTACAAACTGGATTATGACTCTCAGGCCAAGTTTACCAAAGAATATACAATTTTCAGGTCATTGCCTGATAGGATTGTGAGCATCTGCTGATGGTTAAAGAGTTTCTTCCCAGTTTGATCACCACAATCAATAAGTCATGAATAGCGTTGATACTACACTACAAAGTTCATAGTAGTAGCATTTAGATAAAGTGGTACTCATAGCCCTGAAAGAGTTGCTGTTTATTAGTACAGAGATTTGCTTTTTTGAAAAGTCAATCCAATGGGCAACACTGGTGAGGCAACGTCTGAGTGCAATTCTTGAAAAAGCATGAGTCACTATAACATCCGTCCATTCATTCATTATCTGTACACTGCTTAATCCTCATTAGGGTCGCTGGGGCTGGAGTCTATCCCAGCTGACTTAGGGCGAAGGCAGGGGACACCCTGGACAGGTCACCAGTATATCACAGTCACTGTAACGTGTTTTTCTTAATTTTAAAATGATGTTAATCCTGAACCTGTTACACGTTGGACCTAAAATAGCCCTTACTTAACTCAATCTTAACAGAGTTCCAGCGATGTCAGTCTGTTGGCAACGACAGTTACAACTGAGTACGTGTTACAGGTTATGTACTGTAATGGAGGTCGACTGTGTTTGAACTAAGCACTATGGATTTCTGTCTGTATTAACTAAGATAAGTGAACTACTGTTGTCTTTGTTGAGGTCAGAGTTTTTTTTTCTTCTTCTATGATTTCACATTAGGGCTGCAAGGTGAATCGGTGGCTAGCACCATTGTCTCGCAGCCAGGAGGTCGCTGGTTCGCGTCCCGGTGGGGGCACCAGAATCTTTCTGCGTGGAGTTTGCATGTTCTCCCCGTGCAGCGTGGGTTCTCTCCAGATTCTCCGGCTTCCTCCCACACAGTCCAAAAATATATTGAGGTTAATTGGTGATTCTAAATAGTGTGTCAGTGTGAATGTGAGTGTTCTTGGTTGTCTGTCTCTAAGTGTAGCCCTGTGATAGACTGGTGACCTGTCTAGAGTGTCTCCTGCCTTCGCCCTAAGTCAGCTGGGATAGGCTCCAGCCCCCCCGCGACCCTCGTGAGGATTAAGCAGTGTATAGATAATGGATGGATGGATGGATGGATGGATGGATAGTAGTAAAAGGCAGCATGAATGAAGTCTCTTCTTGTGAAATTCAAACTGACCTGAACTAGGGGACTGTGTTATTGAGAGAGATGATTGAGAAGAATATTTTCTGTTTTATCAAACCTGACATCACTTTTGAACCTTTTAAGGAGTTAAACCACGTGCACTTCTATGACTGCTGCACAAAACAATCACAAAACCAACATAATTTTTGTTTTTATATATTGAACAGTCATAACACTTCATGTGTTATTTTAGTCATTACTCCTCTTGCAAATTTACTGACATTAAAAATATGTTGCTTTTCACACTTTTATGCCTGTTGTTTATTCATTATCATATATATTACATGTATTGTTAGTTTTAGATAGAGAGCTTTTTCTCACCATTTTCTAACAGAATATGATCTAAGCATAGATCACTTGTAACTACAGTATTATGTGTTTGTGCACAGATTAGATTTGTTATCTAAAAGAAATATAAGATCTGTATTCACTAAAAGTATATTAGACTTCCACACAGGTACAGAATGACCACACATGTTTTTAGGAAATATTTATATGTTACTGTAGTCTTTCGTTGTTTCCACACTGCCTGTGAAGAGATCTAATGGGCTTCATCTCTGCTGTAAGAAGTAAAGGACTGTGTGTCAACAAGATCTTAGGATTTTGTTTCCCAGTGTTGCTGCACCAGGACGGGATCTCTTCACTGCCAGTATGGAGAACAGGAATTATTACAGTGACCCAGGACTGTCTCAGCCTACAGACTACATGTGAGTCTGGTATCAAGTTAGACAACAAAAAGTCCAAATGTATCCGTCTCTTATCTGCTTCCATTTAAACATCCTTACCTTTGCACTCTACTGTTTTGATCCACTTGCCATCGGTACATGTTGCAGTGCCTTCAGCTGCTGCATCAGGTATGACACACTCATACTCGATCACGTCTCCATTCATGTATCTGTCTTTATCCGAGGTGAAGTTCATTGACAGCTTCTCATTGCTGAGCTTGTCACAGTAGGCTGAAAATACAAGTAACACACTGTTGTCAGTCCCTGTTTCTTAGACAGAAGCTGCAGCTGTTATGTTAGTATGTATTGCATTGGGTACTGAGGGCGGGAAAAAATGCATTGTCACTTAGCTTTTATTACGGATTTACCTTTGTGATTAGCCATGTTATGATGTTTCCTAATGTCTGCACATTAACAACTGTAGTAAATATAAAAAACTTAGTTGAACTTGAAATCTTAACTTCTGAGATATGTAACATCTTTGAATAAATTTACAAATAATGACCTCAACATAAGATAATGGGAAAGATTGGCATGGAAAGTTCCTCTTATATTTCTAATGTTAGTTGTTATTTGTCATTTTCCTTGTTGGGATTTTGTTTAAATGGAATTGGTTTCAGTCACTATTGCAAGAGATTTTGAGCTCAGTGAGATTTCCTAAAAAAACAAAGCTGAACTCAATAATGGCTCCTAGCTGCATAATGTCATTACAACATATTTGTTGTTACAAATTCGTTTCATATAAAACTATTTTCTAGGAAACAGAGTGGTGTTGTTCTCTGAGGTATTGTAGTATTTAATTTGTTGAAGTTCAAGTTTTAGCAGCTTGGTATATCAATCTGCTTCTTTTCAGTATCTCTGTAGCTCAGCTCTTTAATTCTAACAGTGAAGACAGAAGGAATGCTCACATCTGTTTAAATACCTGGTCTGAATGTCATAATAACACATCAAAGAACAGAGTTTTGGCATTTCTTGAGGGATTTAACAATGCTTTCAGAATCCTGAGGTGTCAACAGGCAACCTAACTCAGCTTTGAACCGGGAATTTTTAAGAAGTTTTTTCTGAGTCACTTTGTGAAATGCTTTTTCAAGTACTTACGTATACACTTGATGTCTTTGTCCTCCCATTGCCCATTTTTGCATCTAATTGTGTCTTCCCCCTCCATTATAAACTTGTCACGGCACTTATAAGTTACTTCAGAGTCAGACACGTACTCCTTCTGATATGAAGTCAACACAACAGCATTCTCAACTTTAGTTGGGGGACTGCAGTGATCAGCGATTGCTGCAAGAGATGAAAACAGGACAGTATTAATTTTTACCCTGCAATCTGTTGTTCTACATCTTTTTTGGTGTTACAATAAATACATCTGTTGGAATAATCCTGAAGCTGACTCACGTCTACAGATTGTTTTGAGTGATAATGCAGTTGGATGCCATTTTCCGTTGTGACAAGTAAGTTCCTCATTCTCAGCCAAGTATCCTTCATTGCAAATAATCTGTAAACTCTGGGCTTGTTGAAATCGCCCTAAAGCTTTCCCATTAGGAATCACAGGAGGTTCTCCACAAAGTCTTTTGTCTAGAGAAGACACAATTACAAACAATCAGGATTGTACAATGTCAGCAAAATATTAGCATTAAATAGACAATACACCTTCATCCAAAACGATCACCATTATCAGCAGCAGAAAAGCAGCAAATATTAACTTTTTACTCTTTTTTTGTCTTATTCCTATTTTCAGAGAAATAGTTACAGATTTGAAAATTTGATTTCAACATCCACCTAAAAATGACGTAACTTAATGGGGATAAATTCAACATTCTACAAACCACTGTGGCTAGTTGGCTTCATGCTGGGAACAATTTGAGAAAAAAGTAAGACAGTAAAGATTAATTACCAATACACTGCTCGAGGCCAGACCAAACACCGCCAACACATTTGGCTTCACCCCACCAGCCCTTGGTGGAAAGCTTAAAACCCTCATTACAGGTGTAGTACAGCTTGTCTTTGTGTGGACCAACCACAAATCCATTTGGAACGGCAGCTTTTGGACACTCTGTGTTATCAACAGAAAAGGAAAAACATGCAAATAACATCAGTTAGACAGTGAACATGTGTTTTAGTCATGCTAGTAGCCAGGCTGCAGAGACAGGTCTGCCTGTGCACTGATGGTTCCCAGAGGAGGAACCCCACTGACTCTGGTGATCCCTCAGCATGGATTAGCATTTGGCACATGAAAATCACTTACTTTTATTTATGACGAAATATCTGCAAACCCAATGATGTTTCCATCAACTCTAGATGTATTTTGTGTTACTTGATAACTAGGAAATGTTTGCAGGCTAAACTTAGATAGTTACCTTGATCAACATTGTATTTGCTATGCATCAGTATGTTAGTGTTGTGGTGGTCAGTTTGCTAGTGTGCTGGTTTTTGTATTGAAAACTTCACAATGCTGCTAGCATGACTGTAGATTCTGTAGTCTAGTTGAGAAAACTGTTTTATGTATCTGTCATTTATTTATGCCCTAATGGGTGGAAAACAGAAAATATTTATTTTAAAACAGTCTTAAAATGATTGCACTGAGTAATCACACTCCTAATGCAGTTTGAATTTGACATATAGTTTTAGACAGATAGTATTTAGCTGTTAGGAGATTTTTCCTTTTTTCCGATGTTGCTATTAAAAACATACCACAATCACACCACATTTATCCTTCAAACTGTACATGTTATAGTTGTATGTTCTTACCTGAACAGCTCTTTATTCCTGTCCAAACACCGCCGTTACAGGTGATAGTAAAAGTGTTTTGATTGCCGATCCTACAAGTGTATTGGACTTGTTCACTGTTCCGGTATTCCCACTTGTTGTTGTAGGTAATGTCTGCGTTTGCAATGTCGGGTTTGTCACACCGTGTTCCTGGGGGAAAATGTATATTAAACTTAAATATTTCACACAGATTAATGACGAATCTGTGAAAAACGTCCTGCTTACATGAGAATCTAGCAAGATGTTTTTAAAAAGACATTGAAAATGAAGAAAAAAACTATTGGAAGTAACAACAGGAGTGAGTGTCACATTTCATCAAGACGTTTGATTACACCATTGAAAGTCAACATGCACTAAAGCTGATGTTCTATTAATCTAAGAATAATCACAGGTCACTGATGCAAATGTCTCCTCAGGAGAAGGTGCTGCAGACATCCACGACTCAGTCCTGTGTTGTCATGTTGTCCTGGTGAAGTGAAGCGCTGAGATTACTTGTACGTTAGCTTTAGGTAGCCTGTGTTGCTTTATTATCAACAATAACTTCAGACACGTTAGGATTTTTACCTTGTTTTATAACTGCCAGTTCTGAGAAATAGTACTTTGTGGATGGAAATAACTTAAGTGACGTCACTTCTACTTGTTATACTTTGTTGCCTTGTTGATGAAGGTTGTAAAGTATCAGGCAGTGTGATATGTTATGTGTTTTGTCTACAGGGCAGCTTTAAATGCAATTAGCAATGAACCCCACAGACTAGAACCAGGATGGATTCATTGTCTACTGAAGTGACTGTAAATGGTGGAACAGGAATGTTAGCTTCTGAGATGTTTGGGGAAAACAGCCATTGGGATAAAAAGAGACCAATCCAAGTCTGTATCCGTAAATGTGAAGTGAAATTACAGATATAAAAGAAGTAATATAAAAAATACAAGGTTAACTTCACAATACCTCGACACAGTGGTTTTGGTGTCCATCCATCTCTAGTGCAAGTAGCCCGATGGTCACTGTTTGTAGCTTCATAGCCCCATCTACAAGTATAATATACTTTGTCACCTAGTTTTTTCTTTTCATTCCTATATACATCCCAACTATACACAAGTGGGTCTCGTTGATTGCTGCATATGACCTCTGGAATGAGAGAAAGATTTGTCATTCTTAACTTATCAAGATAAGATTGAGAATCACAATAATGAGCTTATGAAACACCACACCCTGACAAACGACAATCTCATAATCTGTTCCTAGTATGAAATATAGATTCATACCTTGGCATATTGGCCTGATACTCCAGATTCCGTCGCTTTGACAAGTAGACTCTACTGAGGTGGTCTGCTCGTTCACAATCCAGTGTTCCTCTCCACATACAACTCTGATTGTGTCACCAGGTGAGAACACACTTCTGGAAGCAGGTTCATATCGTGTTCCTGTGAGTGCTGGCAGCTTCAGTTCACATCTTATTGCTGCATTTAGAGAGAAGTTAATGTATTATGTGTCAGTGTGTTGTAATAAGACAGACTATAGTGCAATAACATCCAACATCCAGCAGCAGTTTTCACTTTGTAATTGTGACACAACCAGTAAATTGTGGATTCCTCAGTTTATACTTACGTTCACACGCAGGTGTGGGGCTCCAGTCTGCTTTTGGTCCAACTTTTATACATTTTGAAAGTCGTTCTTCAGCGGGCTTGTATTGAGGATCACACTGAAAATTCAGGACTGTATTTTCTTTGTACTCTCTGAGATCTCCAGGTACAAAACCATTTTCAATCACAGGTACTGTACATTTTATCTCTGTTAAAAATACACACAAACATGAATGTAAGTACATTTGGACATAAAAAAAAATAGACGGTAAACATTGATCAATCTGATTTAGGAGTCAAATAATGTTTTTTTTTTTGTTTAACCATTTAATACATCATGTAAAAAATTCTTTGTTAAAATAAATGAATGACAACCCACAATGCATTTCTGCTTTTACTCTTCCTAATGACAAATTATACATATGTGCCAGCTTTATGTTTTGTACAGGGATAAAGAGGGTTTTTTGAGGGAAAGATACTGTAAACAGTTTTTCTACTCCTTGTGCTAAGCAAAGTAAGCTAGTTATCTGCTCCTTATATTGTCATGCTTGGCCTGTTTTTACTTTAGACCTGTGCTTTTAGATCTGTGTTTGAACCTGAGGTTCAGCCCAAATGTTGTAGTATGAACAATGGCATAATACTGTGTGCACACAAGACATTTTGGGCTTCACCTTTTTAAAGGGAGCATTTGCATCTGCAGCCCTGATTGTCTGACCAGGTTGTCTCTAACTGATTATTGCTGAGTGTTTTGGTTGCTTTATGTTAACCATTGGGTGGCTAGTGGTTGTTTAAGTGTTACTTATAAGGTGCTAAATAAAGCAGTTTCTTAAAGAAGGTCTGGTCTACCTGTGCATATTGGAGCTTTCCCCTTCCACTCTCCATTTTCATCACAGTACATCTCTGCTGACCCTTCCAGGACTTCAGAGCTCGACTTGCATCTAAATCGAACTACATTGCCATAGTTTGCTTCTTCTGGATCCCCAATAATCTGGACATTACTGGCCACATTAATCACTGGACACTGCTGGGCTGAAAGGAAAATGACCAAAAAACATTGAAATATCTCAGAATATAGGCAAGTACGCAATAAAGTTTACATATATTACCAAGTGATGACAAAGATATGAACACAGGGGGAGATTTCTCCCTCCACATCAGGCACTGAATGAATAAGATTCGTCATTTCACCTTCACAGACTGGAACAACACCGTCCCAGCCTTCTGCCATACAGCGCCGGAAGTTTGTCCGACTGACCATCTGATAACTGAAAAGGAGTTGAATATAGAAAAGTTATTATGGAAGTAACTTGTAAGGAGAAGCAAAATGTGCAGGGAATATACACAAAGCATTTGTAAGAAAATGCATTAAAAAAACAAACGCTATGAATTTGCGATTAAAGCTATTGTCATACCCTTTGTGGCAAGTGTATACAACTTTTGACCCAAAAACAAAATCGTCTCCCTCCGCAAGATTAAAATCTGCAAACTGGGCATCGCCGGGATGACCACACGATTTTGCTGAAAACGAATGAGGGAGAATGGAGGTAAATATATTGCAGGTGGGAAATATGTGCTTCCATTTATATAAAAACAGCACCTTGTACTTTGCTTACTAATGAATCATACATTATAAATGTTGTAATAAAAACAATAACATGCATGTATTCAAACATTCCCATCAATGCAAAATATAGCCTGTCACAACATGACATATTGCTATTATCTGTTCCAGTGTTTACCTCTCATTATGGCAGAATAAATAGTTACAAGCAGTCAAAGATGGTAACTTACGTTGACATTTGTTGCCTCTAGTCTGCCATTTTCCCTCCACACAGATCAGCTTGAAAAAGCCAGTGTAGCCAACATTGCAGCCCACTCTCACCTGCTTTCCACCAGCGTAGCTAGCCTCCAGACCGATTATGTCAAAATTTGAATCATAGGCGCGGCTATTTAGAAATTGTTCAAGCGTACAATCTGTAAAACAGCAACAAGCTAAAGTGAATATGCAGTTTATCACTTTATCTCAACAAGAAAGCAACAATTTAAAAGGTAAAACAATGGATCATATAAATTAGTACAAGTGCTGGGTCTTACCTTGGCTTTTCACGAAGGTCAGTAGATGCATCCACAAGAACAGGACATAGGTTTTGGTTAGTATATGCATTTTATCTGCATTACCGTGAACCATCAGACGCAACTACGAACTGCAGAGTGAAACAGTGTTATACAGAGCACGAGCTTTGGATTGCACAGGGAAGAAAAGCAGATTGCTCAATGAATTGCGCAAGGCAGCTCCAGCCTCCAAATATAATCTCAGGCTTACAGGGAACAGAAAAGAAGAGGAAGTGACCACACGCACCTTATATGACAACACAGACATTTAACAAAACCATGAAAACACCAGAATCTTCCAATGTTGGTACACAAATACTAAATAATTTTATTTGCAAAACATATTCCTTGAATCATGGAAAATGTGATTGTAAACAACGTAATCACATAGACAGCTGTGTGTTTTTTAAAAGGTACTGCAATATTTCCATGACCCTGTGCGGTTACTATGTTTATTATTCAGTGACAAAACCATTATGCCAGTAAAGGTTTATTTGCTTTTTGCTTTCTTTCCCTTTCCTGGCAATCATTTGCAGGAATCAATTGAGCAAACAAAATTTGTTGCATTTCGGTGAGTCTGCTCAAGGTCTTCTCATTTAGAGTAAATAAGAAATAAAAACAAAATAAATAAAGCAGTGTGTCAGTTCAAAAAAGTCTAAAATATGATCATTACAAAGTGGAACTAATTAGAGTTGCTTTTGTGTATAAACTCCACTCCACTCCACTGAGGCAAATGCATCCTGTAAACAGCTGGCAGACAAATGATGCAGTCTGACCTCAGTTTGGAAACTAATAAAACAAAATGTTACTGTTGAGCAATGTGGGATTTACCTTCATTTCTCAATGTTATTGATACGACTTCTTTTGAACACAAGGTACATGTCACTGAAAAGACATGTATCGCAGAAACTCAACCCTCAAGCAATCAATTCGTCAATCAAACTCTTTGTGCAGCACCTTTCATACAACTTAGTGCAGTTCAAAGTGCTTCACAGATCACCAACATGCCAATAACAAGACAGAACGAGGAGAGAGTGAAAGGAAGCTGGATTGAAAAGCAATAGATAGTAGACAAAATCACAGCGAAATAAAAGTGCACTAAAACACAAATCTTAAAAAAAAAAAAAAAACAAACTATAGATTAATATAAACTACTCTGTCAGAATTAGATTAACATCTCAATACAGTCATATAAAAAGGCAGGAACAGAGGAAAATAGAATAAGATACATACATAGAATACATTTAAACCATAAACAGAACATGTGGCACAGATTTGTGACTCTGATGTTCTTTTCTGTGTAGTATTATGTATGGATCGGGTTCAGTTGTTGCTATACTGTGGAACTTTCTCTCTTGACTGTTTGAGGATTGTTTGACTTGTGTGCTTTGTAAACTACCTCCTCCAGTGCTGACAAAGCAGAAAAAGAGAGAAGTGGAGTAACGTTCCACTGATCTGACCTCTGCAGGGCCGCACGTCCAGACGGAAGTTGCGAGAAGACGTTACTTTGTGTCCTGACGTCTTCGTATATGATGAATATTATGACGAAAATGTTCAGTGATTTATTCTCTGAGTGATTTTTGTATCCTCTGAAATCGTGACAAATATTTTAGAAATTATATATATATATACACTGCTGCCCATAAAGTTGGAATAATATGTGTTTTTACCTCCTCTCATTAAGTGGTTGTGACAGTGTGATTTATTCTTGACAGATAAAGTGTAAATCTTCTCAAAACTTTATTGATTTCACAATATACATACAATACATATGACTGTAAAAAATGTAATCACAATTAACTTTTGCAAAATGTGTATTCAGTCTAAAACTAAATTGGGGGTATTGAACAATAGGATTAAGGGTTTTGTTTCAATTTTTCAACCTTGGTCAGATCACAGGAAACACACATCCGAGGGGATTTCATGCACTAGAATGTCCAATATTACTCTTTCAAATGTCTCTCAGTCACTAATATTGAGTCTGGCCACCCCTGACACGGATCAGTGCGTTAAGACATGGTGGCATACTGTCCACCAGCTTGTTGATGGTGTCAATGGGCAGGACGTCCCACTCTACAGTCAGATCCAGAAGTCAGAACTAATTTCACTGGTAACTGGGACTCAGTATGTGATCACTGCACCTGGTCAGAAGTGATTACTGATGTGTATCAATAGAAATAAAAAGAGGAATGTGTCTGAAAATAACAATAAAATAAATATTCCAACTTTATGGGCAACAGTGTTTTTAAGTGTATCTTTGTTATACATGTCCTTTATCATATAATGTACAGCAGAGAGCCGATGGAGGTGAGAGAGAAAAATGGAGGACACCTTGTGAACTCGTGTCCTTCAAATGCTTCTATAAAACAAGCACAAGCTAAGTAGTAAGACATGAAATCAGTAGCCTTCAGTTCAGTGCAAATTGTTCACATGCTGACTGGTTGTTTTTTTTTTGTTTGTTTTTTAAATGTGTTGGCTTTAGTTTCAAATTAAACTACTATAAATATTAATTTCAGTGGACTTACATGTTTCTGAAGGACTACTAGCCATGATTCTTTTAGTATTTTTTTGAGTTCTTTTTTTTTTTGTTTGTTTGGTTTTGTTTTTTGTTTTTTTAACAAAAAAAAGTGAGACATATCATTTACACAGCATCTTATGACCATCATGACAATTACCTTCACATTCTTAATGGTGGACAAAATGTCTCTGGATAAGCTAATTATAAAATCATCATCAAATGTAATGTTTGAACAGCAGTCCTATTAACACTTTTCCAGCTTTCTGTAACTGGACTTTATGTGTCTTTTGGTGCCTTTGTGGAACTCTTCACCTTTTGCCCATTTCTGGTTAATAATTCAGTTGAAAGTCATGTTGACTGAAGTGATTGCTAGAAGATAAACAATGGGTGAAAGATGCTGAATTATCAAGTGAAGACTGTGCAAAGAGGCAGTAGATGGAAGACTGAATGATTTTAGACAGTGAAGGTTGTGTTATCAGTTTTATGTTTGGTGCACGTACATAGTGTATGTTCCTGTTGTTGTTTCTGTTTTGCGCAACTCTTGAAATGCTTCTGTGTCTGAAAATCCACGAAGACAGACGTCGATCAGTACAAACGTCTACCTTAAAAAAACACACTCTTCTGCTCTTAGTGCATACAGATTCATGAAAAGACAGAGCGTTTGGTGGGTCCGTATGTGGTAAGAGCAGAGTAAATGTCACATATTGCTCAGCAGTGACCTCCTGAGGTACTGGATAGGAGTTGCTCCACAACACCAGCACAAATAAGATGCACAGCACGTGTTTCAGTGTTATAAACCATGACCAAATAAACTTTGATTTCACTGCTTTTCCCACAAAATAGTTCATTCCATATGTAACTGAACATCAGCGTCAACTGATGCATACATAATTCCTGTTCAGATAAAGCGGTTGTATGAATGTGTTTATGAAGTCAATCACTGGGACGTAGCGACAGGCAGGCTCAGACACAAAACAGAGGTTAAAACAGATGGCACTCAATATTCAAACTGTAATTACATTAACTAAGATTTGTTTAAGTCTTCAGCTAGAAACAGTCCATCTGCTGGGTGTTCATCTGAATGCAGTTATAGAAATTATTTAGAGAGCATATGATGAAGAAAATATGAAAGAATCTGTTAAACCATAACAATCACATCTGTATCCCAGAGCTATGCTACACAGCACATTTACATACAGTATATACTGTGTGCTTGCCAGTCAATTACAAGCTACTAATTAGTACAAAGGAAACTGCACAAGTCATGCAATGCTGGCATAATAACTACTTATGGTTTTGTTTTCTTACAGCTGCTAGAAGCTACTTTATTTCATTTGTTTATTGCATCACTTGAAAAAAAGTTTCCATTCATAGCACAGTTAAAACATCTACTTTATTTAGCTTCCACATATACTCAGTGTCATATTAGTGTGTGTAGCTGGACCTCACTGGACTTGTAGTGGTTAAAAAAAAAACAACACCACACAAAATGTTTTCAGTTTTGTTTTCACAACTTGTTCCCACCATGACCTTACAGACCATTGCCCTCTTCAAAAAATAAAAAAAAAATCCCTAAAAGAAGTCAAGACTAACAGAAATGTACATGTAAGCAGCAGCAGCAACAACAACAACAACAACAACAACAAATTAGGTTAGACATTCTCATTTGGTCTGATAAACAGATAATTTTAGGGAAACACAGCCCAGAAATGATCAAATGTAAGAACAGATACATAAAAGTGTTGTTATTTTGTTTTCATTTGAATGTTTTAAAAAACAACAATAATTATTATTATTATATTGCTATTATTACAATAATAATAATAATAATAATAATAATAATAATAATAATAATAATAATAATAATAAAATAGCAATATATTAGATTAATAATATAATAGCAACAACAGATTATTATTATTATTATTATTATTATTAATATTATTATTTTCAAATTGATGTTTTAGTCACTTAGCAAAGATTTGTTGCCTTCATTTTTAAAAATATCTATTTATCTTCCATAAAAATTCATTGTCAGTTGTTGGTGGAACAAGATTAATGCAATTCACATTTTATTTCGGTTTGATTACAGCAAGTCTTCAATTAATGATTACTCAAGTTCTGTGCAAGGGTTTATATTCTGAAGCACGTACGTACAACTCTACAGTTTAGTTTAGTTTAAGGAAAAGCATGTTACCTTAACTGTGCCGTATTATCCTAACAGAGCCCTTTGCTCTCAGACTGCAGGTCTACTGGTGGTTCCCAGAGTTTCTAGAAGCAGAATCAGCTCCCAGTTTGGGTTCGGGAGGCGGACACCCTCTCTACCTTCAAGATTAGGTTAAAAACGTTCCTTTTTGATAAAGCTCATAGTTAGGGCTGCTCGGAGTCATCTGAGTTGTCCCTTAGTGATGCTGCTATAGGTTTAGACTGCTGGGGGATTCCCATGATGCACTGGGCTTCTCTCCTCTCCTCTCCTCTTTATATATATACATATGTGTGTGTATGTATGTATATGTTTTTATAGTTGCCTATCACCATTACATATGACTAACTCTGTGACTCCCCCCGAGGTTCTCCTGCGCCTGCTCTCTCTGTGGATGTCTCTGGATCTGGAGCTCCTGA